AAGTAGATAGATAGATAGATAGATAGATAGATAGATAGATAGATAGATAGATAGATAGATAGATAGATAGATAGAGAGAGAGAGAGAGAGAGAGAGAGAGAGAGAGATTAGACAAGATAAATAGACTGATAGATAGACAGATATATAGAGAGACAACCAGATACTGAAAGAGATAAAGAGAGGCAGAAAGAGGAAAAGAGAAAGAGAAAGAGAAAGACGAAAGAAAGAGAAGACAGAGAGAGAGAGAGAGAGAGAGAGAGAGAGAGAGAGAGAGAGAGAGAGAGAGAGAGAGAGAGAGAGAGAGAGAGAGAGAGAGAGAGAGAGAAGAGAGAGAGAGAGAGAGAGAGAGAGAGAGAGAGAGAGAGAGAGAGAGAGAGAGAGAGAGAGAGAGAGAGGAGAGAGAAGAGAGAGAGAGAGAGAGAGGTGAGAGGGCCTCGGATAGGAAAAGGGGGCCCGACCTATAGTAATCCACAAACCAACCCATAATCCTACCCAACGATTTTTTGGGTACCTTTTTCTCGCGTTCTTTCTGCCTGCCTAAAATTCCACTAATTGCTGCTTGTATTTTAGTTTTCTCTGATCCTTCCGGGTCAACAGAGTACACACACATACAAACACGTACAAATATCTATGTATTTTTGTGTTGATTATTCTATCTATATATCTATCTGCTTGTTTATTAATTTATCTATCTATCTATTTATCTGTCTATATATCTATCAATCTAAGTATATATAGCACACATAAAACTTTACCAAAAATAAACTTACCTGTACGAGAAAAAAAAGTAAATGATAATAATGATAATAATAATAACAAAGATAACAAAATAAATAAATGAATAAACGTATCTCCAGGCAAAACACCCAAAGACCATCCCTCATCCCGCCCACGCATGCCAATAACGCCCCGCCTTCTCTCCGCAGCCTCCTACACTCACGCCCACTCTCTCACACAGTCCATGACGTCATCTCCCCGCCCACAGAGCGACGAGACGGGGTCCAGCGTGGCGGGCGCGAGGGCTCTGGTGGCGCAGAGGGCGGTGTGTGACTGCTACCCCGACGGTCACCTGAGGGCGCTGAGGGTCACTACTTGGCCAGAGGATCCCACTTCGCCCAGACGGTGAGTTGGGGGGAGGGTGAAGGGGAGGGGTAATGGGGTTAGGGGTGAAGGGGAGGGGTGAAGGGGGGAGGGGTTAAGAGAGGTGAAGGGGGAGAGGTGGGTAGGGTGGCCAGAGGGCCCAGACGGTGAGTTGGGGAGGGGGAGGGGGGTAATGAGGGGTGAAGGGGAGGGTGATGAAGGAGGGTGGGGACCCTTGTGAGTTTTGTGGTTTAGGGAGATGGGGTTAAGGGAGGTGGGTTAGGAGAACCCGGAGGGAGGGATGATAACAAGAAGGAAGAAGTAAGGGATTAGAAAAAGGATGGGGGTGGTAAAGGAGGAGGAGAGAGAGAGAGAGAGAGAGAAAGAAAGAAGAGAGAGAGAGAGAGAGAGAGAGAGAGAGAGAGAGAGAGAGAGAGAGAGAGAGAGAGAAGAGAGAGAGAGAGAGAGAGAGAGAGAGAGAGAGAGAGAGAAGAGAGAGAGAGAGAGAGAGAGAGAGAGAGCAGAGAGAGAGAAGAGAGAGAGAGGAAGGAGAGAGATGTAATGATAGCTTACGAGGGTTTCGATAGGAAAGGGAGAAGGGGGGGGAGGGGGATAGGAAGGTGAAATAGGAGGTTTGGGGAGCGGGGGGGGGGGGTGCGGAAAGAGGGAAAAATAGTAGTAGCAGTAGGGGTAGGGGATGGGGGGGGTGATAGGAGTAGAGGTAGATAGAAGAGGTAGCGTGGAGGAGGAAGGGGTGTGTGGTGGAGGGGAAGGGGTGAGATTGGGGGTGAATGAGGGGCAGAATAAGGGAGGGGGAAACAGGGGAGGGGATGGAGGAAGAAAAATAGTGAAACAAAGAGATGATACAAAAGAGAGTAATAGAGAGAAAATCGTTAGAAGAAACATGAACAAAATTATAAAGAACACAAAAAGGAAAAAGAAAAGAAGAGGGGAAAATAAACAAATAGATAAAGAGAACAAAGATGAAGGAAAGATAGAGAATAAAAGAAGGAAGTGGGAAAGGGAGAAGAAACAGAGAGACGTTTAAGAAATAGAGGAAGAGAAAGGAGAAGGAAAAAATGTAGAGAATGATCTGGAAAAAAAAGAAGTAAATAATTAAGAGGAAACATGAGCTAGCTCCTTTAATTGTAGTATCTTTGAGTCTAATTACACCATCAGCTATCTGCGCTTACCCGTGTAAATGTATAGATGTGTACTTGTGTCTATTTGTATGTTTGTGTGTATGTATGGGTGTTTGTGCATATGTATGTGTATAGACTTACATTTGTATACGTGCATGGAAAACATTATACGACTTAGAAAATATGTACAGTATACACATATATTTGTATGCATGTATGTGTGTGTATTGGTCTATGCACGCGTATCTTTTCCATTTACAATTGTCCAGTATATTTCTCCCTTTCGTTACTGTCCTCTGTAATCGTCTGCATCCCATTTTAACTTTATTCAGTTCCCCTCTTCCTTAAAATTCATCCTCTGTTATTATTTCCCCTTCCTTCCCTTTTCTGACCATTTTCCAACCCTCTGTCCTTTTTTTTTTTTTTTTTTTTTTTTTTTTTTTACTTTTATTTAATTTCTTTTCGTCTGTTTTCACTTACCCCGCTTTCCTTTGGTTTTCTCTCTTTGTTTCTTTCTTCAGTTTTCTGTTCGTTTTGTTGTTTTCCTTTTTTTTGAGAGAGAGAGAGAGTGAGAGAGAGAGATTGACAGATATGTAAATGTATAAATTGTTAGACAGATAGATAAATATGAGAGAAAGAGATAGAAAGAGAGAGAGAGAGAGAGAGAGAGAGAGAGAGAGAGAGAGAGGAGAGAGAGAGAGAGAGAGAGAGAGAGAGAGAGAGAGAGAGAGAGAGAGAGAGAGAGAATGAGAGAAAGAGAGAGAGAGAGAGATTAGCAAATAGGTAGGTAAATTGATAATTAGATAGCTACATATAAAAAAGAAACAGAACACAAAAAAAATACGCAGAAAGAAATAAAGAAAAAGAGAAATAGAAGGAGAGTCAGAATGACCCGAAAAACAAACAAATGAAAAAGAAAAAAAAAAATAATTTCAAGAGATGTTATCTTCCACTCTTTAATCTTCCTTATATGGCTTCCGAACATCCTCTCTCACTGATTAAATGAAGTAGATATTCATTACACGTAACCTTGTAACATAATCAGACTCTATCTCTTTTTTTCTTTCTTTTTTTCTTGGTAATATATATTTTTTTCGCTTTTTTAATTGAAACAGTGATTTTTTTTTTTTTTCATTTTTAAATTACTAATCATTTTTTTTTACTTTTTACTGCTAATCAAGTTTCTTTTTTTCTTTTTTTTTTGATGATATTTTTTACTTCTTTTTGGTTCTTCGTTTATGAGCTTCGGTAATTTGAGACTATATAGCGTGATGTCTAATTTTTTACCTTTTGATTTTGATTTTGGGTTTTTCCTCTTATTAAATGGTTTTTTACACACTCGTATGTATGTACGTGTGTGTGTGTGTGTGTGTGTGTGTGAGTGCGGCATGAGGGGAAAATCTAGAACACAAGTCCTTTTCATCTCTTTACGTGAGGGGTTCTAACGCCAGATCTTTAATGTCCTTAACTTAATGTCCGAAAGTTGAGCAAATAAGATAATTACAAGAGTTAATTCATATATAATTCAAACTCATTTTATGCATATAAGTAAAAGAAAAATAGCTAAAAATAAATAAATAAATAAACAATAAATCTGCAATAACTATTTTATATTTCGTCCAAACTAAAAACACCAAATACAATCTCAGCTCAACTAAAAACAGATGAATGAAATAAATACAGAAAAAACAACACAGCTAACAATGAAATAATAAGAGAAAAAACAGACACAGCTAACAATGAAATAAATAACAGAGCCAACAACAAAAAAACATAACTAAGTCTCCATTCATAAATAAAAAAAGAGAGAATAAACACCGACCCTTTTCGGCTATGTCTGGCAACCCCTGCAGCATCCTCTATGGCGGCCGCAGATCTGCTCTCACCACCAACGTGCCTCTGCCCTTCGTGATGCCTGGCGCCGATACCGTCTATGTGGAGCTGTGGTTCCATGTGGGTCCGCGGAGCCTGAGCGAGGAGTGCAAGAGGAGAATCAGGCCTACGGGAAGGCCTATGGAGTTCGGCAACATGAACGTGCAGGAGACCAAGGCTGACCCCCTGGATATCGTGGTGCAGGTCATTGACCCGAGCGGCAATATCAGGTGAGATCTGGGGGGGGGTGAGGTGGGCATGTAAGATGCATGGGTGCATAGGTGATGCTGTATTTGTGTTTCATCTCACACATACACATATGTACATATAAATGAATAAATAAATAAATAAATAAATAAATAAATAAATAATAATATATATATATATTATATATATATATATATATATATATATATATATTATATATATATATATATATATATACATACATTTCACACACACACACACACACACACACACACACACACACACACACACACACACACACACACACACACACACACACACACACATATATATATATACTATATATATAATATATATATATATTATATATATATATATATATTATATATATATATATCCCACACCCACACTCATATGTATATATTATAAAAGAAAATGAATGTAGAGCCAATCCATTCTTCAAAAATGCATTTCCAAAGCCTCGTCCGAAATAGACCTCCTCTGAACGGCCAAACAAATGCCCTCGCCGCAGCCAACCTGCCTGCGGTGAAATGAAGATTGAGTTCCTCCTTTTAAGTACCTCACGCGAGCCGCTTTTAAAAAGATCAAAGACGGGGTTCTTAGACGCTTCTTGAAAGTAATAATTTTTGAGGGATTCTTTTGGATTTTTTTAAATTTTTTGTGTATATGTGAGGATGGGTTTTAAAGGGACTTATCTAATTAGGTTTAAACTCCACAAGAAAAAAAAAAAAAAAAATAGATGAAAATTCCGACACGTGAAGAAAATCAGAAGAGGAAAATGCAGAAATTTCTCGAGATTTTCCCTGATCAAATTCACAAGAAAGATATAAATGGAACACATTTGCATATTCATGACGAATATGCCTTCTCCCTTAGTTTGCATAATCATATTCTGAAACACATTTAGACATCGGATCATACACTTCTTTTGAGCCATTAGAATTAAATATCTAATGTGTAACTATTTATGAAGATATTAAAATTGAAGGCAATTGGTGATAATTGTGTATTTGTGGTGGGTGATTGTTGCAGTGAAAATAGCGAGAATTGGTGAATATGTGAATTTTAAGTTTGGTTGTAAATAATAAGCGTTTAAACAATGTTCTATGAAAATATTTTATTTTTCTGTTTTTAAATTATACTAACATTGCTTTTCATGAAATGATCTCATTAAATTTTTCTTACAACTGTACTTCATTTATAATCTCAACTATAATAAATCCGTAACTTTCTTTTGACGTTTCTTGTCAATTCTGTCATTTGTATTTCTTTTTCATTGTTATCTTCTATATCCTTTTTTTCCATGATTATTCATTTCATGTCAGACTATCTTAAATTAACATTATTCATCTTCCAATCTTCATGCACTTCTATTCTCACTACCCTCAACCATTACACAATGCTCTTTGGCTCCTCTCTCTTTCGAATTTGACATTTAACTCATATTCATTAGCTCAATACAATCATTTGATTCCCTCCACCCACATTTCTCTCTAACGACCAGATGCGAGGAACGGAACTGGGACGGTCCAACACGTTCACCCCAAACAGGGACTTTGAGAGGGTCGAAATGCCGTCCTTCTTCACCGTGCTGTGCGGTACGATGGAGCCTGGCCAGTGGACGCTCAGGGTTTTCCAGGTGAGGCGAAGGGATGGAGGGATAGCTGGATGGAAGTGGGGTGGTGGGAGGGAAGGGGTAAGAGGGAAGGGGTAAGAGGGAGAGGGAGAGGGAGAGGGAGAGGGAGAGGGAGAGGGGAGAGGGGAGGGGGAGGGGGAGGGAGAGGGAGAGGAGAGAGGGAGAGAGAGAGAGAGAGAGAGAGAGAGAGAGAGAGAGAGAGAGAGAGAGAGAGAGAGAAGAGAGAGAGAGAGAGAGAGAGAGAGAGAGAGAGAGAGAGAGAGAAGAGAGAGAGAGAGAGAGAGAGAGAGAGAGAGAGAGAGAGAGAAGAGAGAAGAGAGAGAGAGAGAGAGTGAGAGTGTGAGAGAGAGGTATTTCAAATGATAGGAAGGATGGGAAAAGGGAAATAAAGAAGGAAATAAGGACAAAGAGGATTGGGGAAGGAGATCATAGACGAGGAAAATATTAGAGAGAAAGAGGAAGATGGAGAATCTGAGATGACGGGGAGAAAAACGAAAAGGTCAAGAAGGTTATATAAACGAAAAAAAAAAAATAAAATAAAAATAAAAAGGATACGTATAGCAAGAAAAACGAGAGGATTATAATAATCTCGCCGATGCCTCTACAAACGACAATAAACCAAAGAAACAAAGACATAAAATCTAACAACCGAGATCAGACATATAATTCCTCGATATCAAATGTCCTCAGGAGCAGAAGAAGTAGTGAGACGCACCGTCTTATGGAAGATGAGCCTCGATCTCCTATGATTAAAGGGTAATTAAGCCCCTCTTCATTAACTCCGTAATGATACTTGTTAAGAGGAAGTTAATTCGATCAAGCCGGTTGATACCGTCCCTCTTTCAGCTCGCGAGGAAAAGATTCTATGGGGGAAAGGGTTATCATAAGCTCTCCGGCTGTTGCTAGGAGGGTGGACTCAGCTGGGAGAGAGAGAAGAAGAGGGAGAACTGGGTCGATAGATAGGCAAGGGGAGAGGGAGATGGATGGGAGAGAGAGCGCGGGTAGGGATAGGTAGATAGAGGTAGGTAGATAGCGTGTGTATGTGTGTGTGTAGATGAGGGCGTATGTTTGTGTGTGTGTGTGTGTGTGTAGATGAGGGCGTATGTTTGTATGTGTGTGTGTGTGTGTGTGTGTGTGTACATAGATTGATAGATAGATATACGGGCAGTTAGGTAGAGACAGATATACTCCAGACACACACACAGACACACCACAAAAGCCAGCACGCAAACACACAGACACACACACACAAGACACACACACAGACACTGATTGTACACACACTCACCACAACACACACACACACACACACACCACAAACACACACACAAACACACACACACACACACGCACACAACAACTTCACACAACACGCACACACACACACACACAACACACACAACACATCACAATAACACAACAGTCACACACCAAACGCACAACGCCACACATAATAACACACACACCACACACCACACACAACATCACACGCCACATGTTCACAGGTGCCCCGTTTCTCACCGATTTACTCCATCGCTCCCACGGAAAGTCCTCCTCCGATCGCGTCCGTGTCACAGCTGACGGAGAGGTACATTAACATAGAATTTCCGGGATTTGCAGAATGGCTTCATTGAATCGTTGCGATAGAGTTGGGTGTTAATTTGGCCTTGCTGTAAATTTGTCATTCTGCTCTCACTGCTTGAGTCAGTCATGCTATATCACGTCTTCTGCTGAGGATTTTGGCAACGTTATTCATTCGGATGATGGAAGTGAAGAATTGCTTGATCATGTGCTATAGTGTTTAGCTACGTTTAGCCGTTCTATATTCATCACGTTTTAGAGACTAACACACACGACATTCGTATTTCTTATTTCTAGCACCATTTTCATTTACCAGAATCAAACTTTCCAATACGTCCTAATATTCTTGTACATGATTCCAGTTTTCAGTCAACCAGAATTCCTAATCCATAAAATATCCTTGAGTTTTGTTACGGGTAGAATTGAGGGAGTCCTTGCCCTAGTCGGGCTAACATCGACTATATCTTATAGCTTTTTTTCGCTGTTCTCCTCTCTAACCCGCCTCCAGGGGGCTCTTGGGCGTACGACCTTTTGGCTTACATTCTCTGAGCGGGAAACTCGAAACGCTACTTACAGGGTTACTGTCTGGAAACTCCAGCGGACAGTAAGGGTATGTTTTCTGCGGAATGGCACTCCACCTTTCACTTACAATACCGATGTTTTTGGGGTGTGAAATAAACAAAAGGCGATACATACATGTATGCATACATACATACATAAATGTATACATGCATAGATACATATATACATGCATACATACATACATACATAAATAGATACGTACATACGTACAGAATTACATACATACATCCATTCATATATACATATACATATAACTATCCATCCATCCATCCACATATGTGTATATATGTAAATATGCATTTATATATATATATATATATATATATATATATATATATATATATATATATATATATATATATATTATATATATATATATATATATATATATATTTATATATATACACACATACACACACACACACATATATATGCATACATACATACATTATATTATATATATATATATTATATATATAATATATATATATATATATATATATATATATATATATATATATATATATATATTTATATATATATATATATATATATATATGTAATATATATATATATATATATATATATATATATATATATATATATTATATATATATATATATATATATATATATATATATATATATATATATATATATATATATATATATATATATATATATTATATATATTATATATACTAAAATGCATACACAGACACACACACACACACACACTAAAACGCTTACATATGTATATATATATATATATATAATATATATATATATATATATATATATATATATATATATATATATATAATATATGCATATATACATACATATATATATATATATATATATATATATATATATATATATATATATATATATATATATATGTATGTATGTATGTGCATATATATACATACATAAATGCATACACACACACAGACACAACACACACACACAACAAACACACACACACACACACACACACACATACACACACACACACACACACACACACACACACACACACACCACACACACACACACACACACACACACACACACACACACATATATATATATATATATATATATATATATATATATATATATATATATATATATATATATATATATATATATATATATATGTATATACGCCATTTCAAGTTTGTTACCATTGTATTGGCGTTAGTTTCTCGTTTCAATTTCAGGTTCACTTGCTGAGAGAGAAAAAAAAATCTAGTCAAAAACAAAATAGAGAATTATTTAAAAAGAAACGAGAGTTAATTGAACGAACAGAAAAAGTTGCACCACAATGAAAAGCTCCTAAAAATAAGGATATTTCCCCATTCCTCTCCCTTCATTGAATACGGGATAATAAAACCCTGCCAAGGATATCTCCCCATCCCTCTCCCTTCTCTGAACACGGGGAAATAAATCCCTGCATAGGATTTCTCCCCATTCCTCTCCCTTCCCTGAACATGGGGAAATAAACCCTGCATAGGATAGCTCCCCATCCCTCTCCCTTCATTAAACACTGTATAGGGTATTTCCCTACCCCTCTCCTTTCACTGAACACGGGAAATAAAACCCTGCATATGATATCTCTCCATCTCTCTCCCTTAACTTAACACGGGAAAATAAATCCCTGCATAGGATATCTCCCCATCCCTCTCCCTACGCTGAATACGTAAAAGATGCTAAGGATATCTCCCTGTCCGTCTCCCTTCATTGAACACGGGGAAATAAAACCCTGCCAAGGATATCTCCCCATTCCTCTCCCTTCACTGAACACGGGGAAATAAACCCTGCATAGGATAGCTCTCCATCCCTCTCCCTTCATTAAACACTGTATAGGGTATCTC